CGCTGTCCTCTTTCATTGATTCAGGCATAATAACTCCAAAACAAGCAGAGAGTCTCAGGGGGCGCATGCATTGGTATGAAAGCTTTGTCTTTGGAAGAGTGGCAAACCAAGCAGTACAGACGGTTGGCAGCATTTCGACCTTGGAAGTTGGTAGCCATAAACTCTCGATTCGGGAGATAGACGCCTTAAAGCTGTTGAGGGATAGGGTCTTAGTTTCTCCTCCCCTCACTATTGCGCCAAGTTCTTTGGATGCCTGGGTAATCTTCACGGATGGCGCTTGTGAGGGCGCCGAGAAGAAGGTAGGCTCAATAGGAGGAGTGAATTTTGATCCAGCCGGGCGGTGTCGTGGGTTCTTTGGGGCGTCAGTGCCCGAAACCTACATGCAGCGTTTGTTGAAGAATTCCCTCAACCCGATTTATGAACTTGAGATCCTCCCCGTACTAATGTCCTTGTTCATTTGGAAGTCCGTAATTGCTAGGTCCCAAGTAGTCTTTTACCTGGATAACGATGCAGCTAGGTCAGGACTTATAAAGGGTGCAGGGGCCACGCTTGAAGCCAGTGAATTGATTCGCGAGTTCACTTGCCATGAGATGCAGCTGCAATGCATGACTTGGTTTGCCCGCGTACCCACTCACTCCAACGTGGCTGATGGGCCTAGTCGATTGGATTTCCGGGCAAGAATCCTGAAAGGGGCTGTGAAAGAAGAGATCCCTTGGGAAGACTTCTTTAGCGGTTCTCGAAAGCTGGACTGACATAGGGGTGTCGGCGGGTCCATCTTTGAGAGCAGCCCCTTTGCCGGAAAAAGAAAAGGTGCGAGCACTGTGTTTCACTCAGTTGCAAGTTCATGACACGTAATCTGCTTTCTGAAGGCTGCAGTAAGAGGTTCAAAAGTGAAGACGAATGGTTTCCTCGAGAAATAAGTGAGAACTCTTTGGAACAAAGATTGTCACCTTATTTCAACATGGAAAAAATTTGGAAGGTGTTTCAAATTTAGTGAGTCTTCTTTTCTTTCCAAAGACGTGGAATTATGAGAGTGGACATTGGAACGAACATACGTGCACGAGCTTGGGCTCTAAGGGTGGGCGGTGGGTGAGCTTTAAATAAAGCTCTTTGATAGGTAGTTGCCCTTCACCCGCCCTTGTCTTCGACCCACCCAAGGGCAACAGGTTGACGCCCGACATTTCAGACCACAAGTGCACCTCGGTGCCGATGTGACTTGTATGTGCACAATTCCTTGACCATCTTTAAGACACTGTTTGTGACGCAGCTTCGAATGTACTCGCTTGCCGAGACAACTCAACCGTAAATGCAAGCCTGCAGCCAGCTGGCGCTCTCTTCGTTCGCTTGTGGCCTAACCCCGCCGTTGTGTCGGCGGGTCCATCTTTGAGAGCAGCCCCTTTGCCGGAAAAAGAAAAGGTGCGAGCACTGTGTTTCACTCAGTTGCAAGTTCATGACACGTAATCTGCTTTCTGAAGGCTGCAGTAAGAGGTTCAAAAGTGAAGACGAATGGTTTCCTCGAGAAATAAACCTGAGTCTCCCCACCGGCTTTGCGTTTTTTTTGGTTGGTTTTGTTGTTTGGTTTTTTTTTTTTTTTTTTGGGTTTTGCTGTTGTTTGGTTTGCGTGTGTTTGCCCCTTCATGGCCGGAGACTCATTTACCAGCAGCACAAGCTGACCTGTGCATGCTTTGCACACATGGCGGCTCCATCCGTGCAAAAAAGAGCACAAACAGTGACACACCTGCGCTTTCGTTCCACTTCTTGATCGCCTCCTCAGCCTCCGTCCGCAGAGAGCCAGAGTCTGTGGGCTTGAGGCGAATGCACTGGTGAACCACGGGCTGACGGAAGCAGCTGCAGGGTGTGCCCTGCACTGCGCTGCAAGATCTGCCTCGGCTCAACCTGACACATTGCGTCACTCTCACTCAGTTGCACTGCCAAATCCCCAGTTCTTATCTTCCAGCAATCTCTTGTTTCACCTGCATGCTTGCACTGGGACACTTGCACTTGCATCTTGCACTTGGATGCTCTCTTGCACAAGGACTACACTTGTGTACTTTCACTTACAAACTTTCATTTGGAAATTTCTGTGCCATTGTAAGAATAGAAGTGCTCAAGTGTGATTGCATGAGTGTTCAAGTGTAAGTGTTCAAGAAAGAACCTTCGCAATGCTTCCGGAAAAAATTATGAAAAAGAAATGCGCTCCGCAAAAGTGTCCTGCCCGGGTGTATTCACAAGGGCGTTGAGGTTTGGGTGTTTTTTTCCAGGCGTGTCCCTTCGGGTTTGTGGGTTCCATTTTTCACCTGCAAAAAAAAATTGGAATCAGTCCGTTTGTGCATTCTGCGCAACTCAAATGTTTTCAGCCAAACTTGAGTTGTTGCGTCAAACAATTTTCTTTTGACATCTTGTATTTTGTGTTGATTCCAACGCAAATCTCTGCATTTGGGGTTCCTGTGTTTTTGGTACATTGACTTTCAAATTGACTTTGTATCACAACGCTCTCTACTTTCTTGCACGATTCTGTTCATGGGCCCAGTACACACATCATATGGCAAAAAATAACATATGGTTCAGAAAGGTCAGCAAAGATAAGGTCTAAAATCAGCTCGAAGCAACAGGTAAGTATGATGAGGTGTCGTCAGGCACCAGTCCTAGACGGGAATAAATGAACTATGACTATGTGTGATTGGTGGTTTGAGACAACAAACAATTTTTCAAGTTTAGAGTCCAATGGACAATTTCTTACAATAATTTGTTGATTCATTGTTTGCATGTCTTGGATGACGTTTGGGATTATGAAGAGCCTTGTGTTGGTTTTCTTCATATTTAATTTGTAGATTCAGCCAAAAGAACATGGTTTGTTGTTGGAGGTATGGAGGGTGGGGAGTGTTTTCAGATACATATCTCATCTCGTTTTTCCGGATAATCAAAATATTAACATGTGAAACATGTTTTCGCTTCCAATCCAAGTGTTGTTTGGAGGTTGAAACCTAGGTTTCTGCTCATTGTTGCAGATTTAGGGAACAGTGCGTGGTGGAAAGAGTTGGTGCTGATGATGCTATTAAGTATTTTTAGCATTTTCTGCATTCCTTTCCAAGTGAGGACACATGTGGCAATCCGCAATGTTTGCACGGAAATGTTTGTGTCCCATGACACTGCCATTCCCAGTTTCTCAGGACATCTTTGCAATTGTTCTTCTTCCGTCTAGCAATCTCTACAGTCTGCATTTGTCCCTGGAGATCTTCCTTTTTCGCCATTGGACCAAAACCAGCAAGGTTTCCTCTGTTTTTGAAAGCTTAATGCTACGAAATTTTGAGCACTATTCAATTTTCCGTTGGTCAGTATGGCTGACCTGCTTCCGCTCCTGCTTGATTGTCAACTCGTTTCCTTTCCTTTCCTTTCCTTGCCTTCTTTTTACCTTCCGTTCAGTTCCGTTCCCTTCACTTTCCTTCTCTTCCATTCCTTCCTTCACTCCTACCTCCCCAATGAGTGATTTTTGCATCCTGAAATGTCGGGATGTCACTACATCACTACATACTATCATGATCAACACGACGCTTCACCACGCATGGAAAGTCATACATTGTGAGAAATCACATTTCTCCATGTCACCTCATCACATCACAAGAGACCATCTCATCACATCTCACCACACTTCTTTCAGCTGGCTCTGCCGGAGCTTGCATCCTTGTTTGTGCCCCAATCATATTGAAGTCGGGTATTTGCAATGTGCAATGTTTATTGCATTTCGGCCTTGTGAAAAATGTCAATTTTGGATCCAAAGACGAGCAACAAAACGCAGTCACTCCGATCTATGTGATTGTTTGTTGGAGCTTTTTGTGGTTGATATATTCAAGTTGGTATTTATATACACTCTTTGATACATGCACATTTGCAGATCATTTGTGAAGAACATTTCTAAAGGCAAAACCCGGATTCTCACAGGTTTGGAACCGTTTCTATGTGCAAGGGTTTAGATTCCTTGTGTTCGAACTCAACTCTTGTATCACAAGACATTTGAGATGCCATGTTGCAAAAGGATTGAAGTCACGAGTAGCCCCAAAATACTGTAGTTGTTCAATGAACTCAATTGCAGGATGAGTGCTGAACTTTTCTGCCTTCACATGTTAGCTCAGGGTTTGCTTGTCAACATTCAACAGGTTTTCTGCAGGTGTCGAGGAATGACCAACAATGGAAAGAGTATTAAAGAGTTGCCGATGCAGTCCAAGGATCGTTGATGGATGTTTTGGGCACTCAGTGTTGTACTAAGTGTGCTGATACTTTCGCCATGATCCTCTTTATGTTGTCCTCTTTCTTCTTCTCTTGTATATAGTGGATCCAATCATTTCGCTGATGACCCAATGATAGAGGAAAGGTTCCTGTCAATGCACATCTCCGACACCAAACTGTAACTTTGCTTGGATCACCAAACTCGATTGCTTGGGAAACTTCTGGCCATGAGAAATTCGATTTGACAGATGTCACAAAAAAGGCAAAGACCAGCATTGTGCAAATAGCGAGCTATGTCAAACGCAGAATGCATTTATCAAAGTTCCAGTGGGCGAACTTTGGATGGGTCGTGTTCAAGGGACTTGCATTGTAACATTAATGGATACCAAAACTCATTCAAGTTTCTGCATGCCCAACCTGTTGCCACAATTTATTCCAAGGGGCTACAAGATCCCTGAATGGTGTGCATTTTGATGCATTTTGTGTGTGTGTGACAGTTTTTTATTGTTCTCAGTGGCTATGTGCCCACCCAAGCACCAACACCTCCACATTTTGGCAGGGTCATAGCGATTTGCCTCCAACCTAAGAGCGATGGCCTCCATCCTAAGAGCGATGGCCTAGCGATGGCCTCCAACCTAATAATAGCGATGGCCTCCATCCCAAGAGCGATGGCCTCCAAACCAATAGCGATGGCCTCCAACCTAGTAGCGATGGCCTCCAACATAAGAGCAATAGCCTCCAACCTAGTGGCAATGGCCTCAGTAGGGATGGCCTGCATCCTACCAGCGATGCCCCCCAACCTAATAGCCATGGCCTCCATCCGATGGTCTCCATTCTCCAACCGAATAGCAACAAAACCAAATTATGCAGTTTGCAACGCTTTTCCCTGTTGGGGTGACGGTGACTAAGTGGTGCGACGATGTGGCCCAAAATTAGAAGATTTGGGAAGGAAGCATGCAGCAAGTTCAAATGGTAGACACATTATTCGGCTTTTGTCAGTTTTTCCATGGACAGTTGATGCGTGATTGCTTGAACGTGTCTTTTGCAGGCTTTCTGGGATGAGGTCGGCACAGGTTGCTGTTTGCAGAGGACACATGCACGTGAGGTTTGGCACCAGAGACACAGTAGTGCGTGACGGTGTCACGCCATGAAAAAGACCTGTGTCGTGAAACTTGACAAGTCGGGCAACTCAGACTTGGGAATGTGCCTTGGCTGGAGTGTGGAAACCATTCTTTTGGAGGTTTGTTGTGCCGGTTCTGTTTGATCGGTGCTGCTGTTTGATCCATCCAATCCTGTTTGGACACCTGGGAGAAGTGAAAGAACTTGGATGACGACTGTCTTGTAGTTGTGTGACATGCCCACAAGTTCGACATCTTTTTTTGTGGAAGACACAGTATGCATGTACATTCGTGAGTATACAAACGCATTGTGCTTGAAGTCAGTGACTACGGCGAATATGAAATCTCGTCCAAACCAGATTGAAACTCCACAGTGCAGTCGAACTTCGTTGTAGAAGCACTAAACACTTTTTTGCTGTCCAGTTCTCGCAATCCAAAGCGGTTCAGGTGTGCTCGCGCCCGCAGTTTCGATCGTGTCCTTTGTGAGGCCACACGCGCCATGTGCTTCGTAAGGCTCGTCACATGCACTCAACGAAGAGCAAGATAGCGCTCAACGCATGCTCCCTGCAGCGGACTTCACATGATGGGCTCGCTGCAATGCATTTCCTGCCTGCTTTTGATGGCCTCCGCAGACCTTGTGGATCAATTCCTTCCCTTCCATGTCCCGCACAGACTTGTAGTAGGGTGCTCATCCCTCACGGACCGCTTTATTAATGATGCTTAGCACGCAAGACCCTCCATCCAGTTGCCACTTACCCAGCCACTTCTTGCCCAAGATTGAGACACTTTATCATGACGGTGGGCTTGAGGGGACAGGGTTTCTGCAACTCTCAGAACTCCACCCGCTCCTTTGGGGACGCAACCAAAAGCGCTGATGAAGTCCACGAAAAGCGCTTGTGAGTCCTCGGCCTGGGTGAGCTGGTTGGAGTGACTCTACTCTAGACCTCTTACCGAACAGGATCGTGCACGAGGGCAGACATCGCTGCGGTGAAAAATAACTAAAGCTGCCGCTAAAGCTTCACGGAAATGCGCATCCCCCCAACAAGCAACCATAGCGCTGCAACATTTACAAAAGCAAAAACATGCACAACGCTATATACTGAAACCTGCAACACGGCCCTAACATCCGGAGTGAAGTTCTGCCAAGTGTAACTGACGCGTTTAGCAGAACCTAGCGAAGCCAAGCACAACGACCATGTGCCAAAACTGGATATGTTCTTCATTGCAAATGCGCAAAATAGATTGCACCAACAAAAGCCACATTCTTCCTCAGCGGCTTCATTTGCACCACGGTCACATTGCGGACGTGCCTTGAGAAGTACACATCACACACACACACAGCCCTGCTGGCCCTTCTACGCGCTCAATCCGGGGAGCGCTCGGGTGAATGGCTCGCTGCCGTCCCGTTGGTCCCCAGCCTGACCTTGCCGCCCCCCTCCACATGCATCTCGCTTTACGTTTGTGCCTTCCGCTGCCCTTTGGGTGGATCATCCTGAGTGCGCCCAGCAGGCCATTTGTGGCCAAGCGCAATAAGAGTTTTCTTTTCCCGCTGTGCCGGCTGCAGAGTCGGTCATTGCGATGTCACGCTCGTTTCCCTTCCGCACGCGGACAGCCACACACCCCCACACCGCTTCCAGAAACCAAGGTTGTCCTTGCCATGGCTCGCCGCCGGAGCCGGTCCACAACGCCTTGTCATGCTTGCGTGCTTGTGTGCGAGATGGGAGGGTCCGCATTTGTTGAGAGCACTATCAGCGCTGCCCGTGCTGATTGGAACCCTGAACGGCGCCTTTTCGCCAGTCTTTTACGCCAGCCACCTTATCAGTGGACGGGCTGCTGCCCGAAATCAGCCCGAAGTCCTAACTTTCCCTCGCGTGGTCAGGCGACGGCCGCTGGCGCGCATTGCGCCTTTGCTAGTGGTGGAGAAGGCGCTAGGTCCAGATTGGAGAGTTTACAAGTCGGAATGCCCAGTGGAAATCGAGTGTCGAAAGAGAGCGTTGCCCGGATTCTCGGAGTGACACCAAGTCCTTTTGTCCGAACGAGGCTGGAAGGAGCGCAGCCTTGTTGAATTGTTTTGTTGGTTCAATCTTTTCTTGAACACCACAGGCTGACGTAGCCCTAGCCAGTTGAACGCTGGGCGGACACGCCACATCGCAGAAACTACAAATTGTCTATGTATCTTCTGGACGCACTTCTTCAGTTCCTTTGTTTTTCATTTCCCTTTCACTGATGAAGGCTGCCAGTGTAAGCGCATCCACTTTGCTGTTTTCTTGCAACTCTTTGGGCATCCGTCCTTATTTTCTACACTTGCTGCCAAAACAAGTAGGCGCACCACGTCAATGCAATGATCACCACCAGCAGGAGGAGAATGACCACTAATAGGCATGCTTGCACCAGTTCCAGACCAATTGGACCCCAGCTTTTGAAAGTGGTTTTGTTTCGAAGCCAGCTACAATCTTCAACTGCCCACTGATTTGATTTTCAGCTGCAGCTTACCTGCACAACCAAGTCTTGGAGGGCGGGGCCTCTGCTGTGCACGCGGGATTTTCTCGCTTGTGCATGCGCAAGGGTTTGCTCACCTGTGCACGCGCTACATGGTACGGTGGAAACGAATAGCGGGAGTCTTTGGCGTCATTTTGACAACTGGTGCTGGTTGTGTTTCATAAGTCCGGAATGTCGAACTTGAGGAACCTGACAGCTGGGAACGATACCCCGCACCTTGTGCAGCATAGGCTTCCTCTGGCTCCGACTCTTCCTGACTATACCTTGATTCGTTTTCCGTATCTACATTAAAGAGCTGGACCAATGTCACTACTCTTCAGACAGGTGGGCTATTTGGTTGTCTCCTGTCCGTAATGTCGGACAAGCCCGCACGAAGCATTGACCGTGGCGAAGCAGGAGACACAAGCCCCGCTACTACTTTGACGGATAAGTTCCCCAAAGTGGCAGTGAAGTACACTGGACCTGATCGACAACACCAAGTATAATACCCCTTGTGGACACTCAAGTGTGCGAGCGGCGACGAGCACACTTTTCTGTTGCACGGAGTGCAGTATTGGGTTTCAAAGTCTTGAGCCTTGAGCCACCTGTGAATTAAGCAGTTGGTGCCACAAAGAAGGGTATATACAATCATCAACGAACAACAGGTGCTACACACGTAAAGCGTAGGCACGCCGAGGGGTATTTCAAAGACACGATACATCCCTACTTTGTCACAGGTGCGCATCATGGCTTTCTCTGGCGTTGCGTGCGTCTCTTGAGGGCCTGGCACGGAAACATGGAATTTGTCAGCTGGATCGCTCACTTTGAAGTAGCCAGCAAGAAAGTCATGGAAACTTGCATGGGCTTACTAGCTCTTTCCGGTATTCCTCAGCCTGATGATTTTGACTTCGTCAACCTTCTCAACCAGCAAGAATACAATCGTCTTCAGCAAACGCGGAATCGTGAAAAACGTAGAAAAACTGCAGCAGAGTGATTCCGAACTGAACTTATTGATGGTTTGAAACTAGCATATCGTGAGACTTTTGCGTTGTCTGACATTTTGATGTTGCTTCAGAGAATACCCTGTGGGGAAGGTTAGTATGTTGAGAGCCCATGGCAAATGGACCGCGGTGCCGCGGGGTAATTGCGAGCTCGCTGCGGGGAGTTGTGTGGGCAGCGCTCTTTCGGCAGCAGTGGTGTCAGTGCCAGATGTTGCTGCGTGCTCTTGCAAGGTGACCAGGGCGTCATGGAGTGTTTGCCAGGCCACTGGCTGGGCTGCGCGGAGCTGGTCGACCAGTGTGGGCCACAAACGGCCTGAGTGTGGGTGTTGTTGCCACGCTGTCTCTGCTCGGGGGCTGAGCCTCTGCGCCCCGGCGTGGAGCAGGGGCACGTACAGCCAGCTGTTCGTAGGCCCAGGTGCTCGCTGCTGCGGTGGGGGTTGGTGAAGGATCGCAGTGGTAGGCCCCGATGTGGGGTGCCGCTCGGGAGCGTCGTGGATTTGCTGGGGGGCACGCTGCTGGAACCTTGGTGGTGAGGTGCCGTGGCAGCAAAGCCAGCCACGCTTGTGCCGGTGGAGATCAAGGACGAGACTCCGAGGGCCGTGTTTTGGGCATGCCGGGGTGGGTGGCACACTTTAGCACAGGGGTAAAATGTTGGTTGGGGCTGGGGTTGGCCGGGCTGTGCCGGGGCGGGGTCGGGTGCGACTATGCCATGTTGGTGACACAAGGTGTCAAGGCGGGTTTCCAAGCTGGGGCGCCACGGTTCTCTACATGAAGGGCACGCAGGGTGGGGCTGGTGGGCACGGAGGTTGGCGGCGCAACTGGGGTGAATGGCATGGTTGCAACGGTGCCAGTCAAAGACAGGGTCCTCATCACGGTTCCGTATCACGGGTCCCAGGCACACGGCACAGGTTTGGGTGCTGCCTTGAGGTGTTGTGGCCGTCAGGTCGATGACTTTTTGGGGGTGGGTGTGCAGCATGGCAGCTGCGCCGGTCAAGAGGTGTCCAATTTTGTTCTGATTGGCAAAGTGCAAAAGGCAAAAAGGACAGCGCTGTAGCGGGATGCGCCCACACGCATGGAACGCGTGGGTGAGACAGGTACCCTTTGAGGGTGACCGCGTGCAGAGTGCGGGGACAAAATCCAAACCCCAGAGCACAAAAGCCAAGGCAAAAGGGAAGTCCACCGAAGGCTTGGTTTAACCTGGTGAGCCTCCAGGCGCGCCCGAACACCTTGAGCCAAAACAGCACAAGAAACGCTGCTCCAATGCTACCTCGGCGAACGTGGAGCCGCGCAAGCAGCACACCGTGCAGACCGATGGAGGCCAGCGCAGCCAACCGCCGGTCCACACCCCCGCCACCACCAGACCCCGCCGCAACCTCTGACAGCGAGTCCAGCAAAGCACCACCAACCCAAACTCATCCAGCACGTCCAGCACCCCATCCGAGCCGGCTCCCCATGGCCCGCGGCCCAACACCCCTGCAGACAGCCAACCAGCAAGTCGACCAGCCCACCCACCACGAGACACCGTCCCCCGCCAGGCACTGGCCACCTTCGATGCGATCGACCTAATGGCGACATTGCGCCACAAAACTTTCTTCTTCGCAGCACC